CGCCCCCTTCCTGTCGCACTTTTTTTGCTTCATCTGGCGCTTCAGCTCCATGTCCGCCGCATTCTTATCCATTCATCTTGTTCTTTTACGCGATCTCAGAGCTTGAGGGTCAATCTCCGTCTTTGTCTGTCGGGACTTTTGAGATGGGACTGAGGGGGCTGTGAGTCCGTCTCCCCCTAGCCCCTCCTGGAGAGTATGTCTTTGGGGGCTCCAAGTCCGCCATGGGAGGGACAGAAGGTAATCCTTCAGCGTCCTTGCGCCCCTTCTGGAGTTAGCCGTCGAACGGCGGACTGCGGTAGTTCTTTCAATGTGTGCCATTGATGAGAAAAGGAGAGCTAGTCAAGGGTTTTTTTGTTCTTGTTTGTTGTTCCACAGACGGCGCCAATTGTACGGGAAAAAAATACCGCTTCTCGTATAATCCCGTTTGACCAAGTCCACGCTCACTCGTACGACGTCACTTTATCACTGAAACACAAGCGTTGAGCTAGCCGCGGGTGTTGTGCCGGAAACTCTCGATGCCTAACGTCAGTAAGCTTGAGCAAATAGACAAAGTTCTATGTTCTCAAGAAAAGTCAAATTGTGTTTCTGTTACCTCCTCTAAGTGTCCATGTGTTCGAACCCTAATGCATAAGAAATGACAATAGTGAGCCAGGCTCAGTGAATAATAGTACTTAAACAATTCGATGCTCAACTTAAAACATAATACATATCAATGCGTGTGTAAATGCAGAGATCATGTGGTTAAACTGATTTTGTACTAATTTCATAACGGCCTTAGGCCCAGCCTTTAAACATAATGGCTTTAAGCCCTTGAACAGAGTGGCATTAAGCCCTTAAATAGATTGGCATTAAGCCCTTAAACAGATTGGCATTAAGCCCTTAAACAGAATGGCATTAAGCCCTTTTCATGGATGTATGAACTCAAGAGGTGTCTCGCACGGATTCTAAAGGTGACTCACAATGTAGCACTTAGTTCCGTGCAGCATTTTGTTTCATACCAGAAAATATAGATTGGCCATAGGCCCAGATATCATCAGAGGGGGGATGAACCAATTCAAGATGACTGCTAGAATGATTTACTTTTTAAATTGATCAACATTAGTGATTAGTATAATATGTAAGTGTGATATTAGTATAAGAAAATGTTGGAGTGAGAAAAGAGTTCAACTTCTAGCAATCCAATCTTCATTACAGCAGCCTTTAAAACTTAATTGATTTCAAAGTGACAAAATCAATCATCTGAAAAATTGAATAAATAGAGAAAAGCCAGCTATCGAAATTGAACATCTCTTTCTTCTGTCGAAATAATAACGATATAATGTTATAAAATAATCTGGCAAGATGATAAATGATATTTGGATCAATGAAATATATGAATAGGAAGTTTACAGTCATAAATAAAGATATGGCAAATAAATTAATTAGACTATTGTCTTAAAGAAAATAAAATAACAAGGAAAGTAGACATAAAAACATGGAGAAGAATCTTCAAATTAAAAACTATATATTTATTCTAGGTGCACTAGACTCTCACCACTACGAAGTTTGATAAGAGTTAGATATTCGTAGTCTTACCCTAGCATGTAGAGATGTTTTTGTGGTTTTAACACCTAATGCCCAGGCATTCTAGATCTGCTCCAAGATTTCTTCAAGGCAAGCAATTTAATGTAGAGTATTTTATGAATATTCTATCAAGAGGTACCTAGGGTTTCCATGGACAATTTACTAAACAAAGATAGGAAACCAATTATCAGGATACATAAACATGGACCATTTATGCTATTGTTTTTCGTAGGTTCGAGCTAAACACAAGGAAGTTTGTCTTCATAAAGATAGTCCCCTGGGAGAAACAATCCTTGTATGTTACAATTGTGGTTGTTGAAAGGATATCTGCACTTTGGTTGCCCTCTCTCATGATATGGAAGATTGAACATCTACACCTCTGAATGATGTGCCTTGAATCTTCCACAATGCTACGTAAAGGAAACCCTTTCGGGGAGCCTTCAGTCAATAGTTCCTCTTCCACAATGCTACTGTGGTTAGGCATTAATGTTTCAACTGTTGTTGCTTCTACTTATTTCTGATCTCCGGATATTTAATATGAAATAAGTTACAATTGTATTCCATATGAAATGCATATTACAAGTGTAGTTGACATTGCATATTACAAGTGTCTATAATTGTAATGCAGGCTCATACGGATGCAGATGAATCCATGAAGAGAACAATAATGGCTTCATTTGGAAAGAAATGGAGAGATTGGAAAAGTCGAGTGAAAACAATGGGATACAAACCCTTCAAGAATGATGCAGAAAGGTTGGCTCATCGACCAGATAGAGTACATGAGGATCAGTGGCGGGCTTTGGTCTACTATTGGGGCACTCAGAGTGCATCGGTAAAATTTTATTTATGTGAAACAATGTTTATATATGATAATTTTTTATAACATCTTAAATAAATTTCATATTGGACAGAAATCAAGCAAGAAGAATAGAAAAATCCGGAAGAAGAAGACATTACATCATAGGACAGGCCGAAAGCCTTTCTCAGTAGTTCGACTGGAGGTATAATTATTCTCTCCATTCATCATTTTCATTCTTTGTCAACTATATCTGTCTATATGTGCTAAAAAGGTGTCAACAATTTGCACCATAATGAATTTATACCAGTTCTACAAAAACAGATGTTATTTGCTTAGTTGTTTATTTTATTTACACTTGTTCACATATTTAATTGCTTAATTATTTAATTTTCTTATTTATCTTAAGATTTTGGTTGTCTTTCATTTATAGGAGACCAAAAAGAACAATGGGGTTCCTGCTAGTCGGTCACAGGTGTGGATGGCCGCATACATGAAAGATGGGATGTCAAATAGTGATTCAGTTAATGAGGTTATGGTATGTGATACTACTTTATCTTTGGACTTTTAATATGATTTATATTTATATTGGAGGCTAATTATTGAATTCAAACTTGCAGACTCAAATGAATGAGTTAGCAGAGCACATGGAGGGATCTTCTACTGACCCTGCAGCATTACAGGAGCAAATCTTCACACAAATTATGGGCCCAGAGCGACCTGGTCGTGTTCGGACGTTTGGATTGGGACCGTCACCCACTGATGTTTTTGGAGGTGGATATAGGCGGTCACAAGAGCAGAATCGTCTCTTCCAAACTCAAGTTCAGGAACAAGTTCAAGAGCAACTTCAACGGTATCAAATGTAGTTCGAGTCGAAGATGAATGAAGTAATGGAGAAACAAATTCAGGCTATACGCACAGATTTTCAGTCACGAATTCAGTTTTTGGAATCTCAATTGCAAGCTGCAGGCGTGCCCGTTGATCCAGTTGTTGCACCATCAAACCCATTACATAGGCAGCAGGTATTTTAATTATTCTTACTAGTTATTACTTTAAATTGCCTAGAGTTAATATACAACTTAAGTCTCTTATTGAATGATAGGTTGTGGATTCACTTAGTAGTCATCCCACTGTTCGACCAATGTCACATCAACAACAATCTCATGCATTTTCATCCCAAGAGGTGAGCAATCATTTAATCAAAGCTTTTTTGACAAATAACATGTCTTATTAATTACAATACTTGCTCTTATTAAATATAGGTTCACCTTTCAAAGAAAGAGAAGAAGAATAAGAAGAAAAAGAAGAACTAACAAGGTAAAAATGTAGATTTATACTTATTAATCTATCCTCTAAACTTTTTAAAAACAATAATTACCTAACTACGTTTTTAAAAATGTTGATGCCACAACCCTTGTTAGAGCAATGTGGAAAGAAGGAAATTTGTGATTCATCTTCTCAAGCAGGTCTACGAGCCCTATTTTTTTGTGGATTTTTGTGGCAGTTTTTTTGTTGCTCTGGTGGCAACACTGTAAGAAAGCCATTCCCTGTGCCCCCCAAATTTTGTACGATTGTCTTTGCTACTGAACAATGGTTTATACAAAAGGTCGCCTCTTTTAGTCCCCCTGTGGAATTCATGTGAAATCATGTCAAGTATTTTGTTAGATAGTCCAACTAGGGTTAGCCGAGACAAGGATCCAAAGAGGTTCCCAAGAGCTACCATTGATACCATGGTTTTAATTTTCACTAATTATCATAGATACCATGGTTTTGATTTCCGCTAATTACCATCGTTACAGGAGCAATTTTAGTAGACAAAACTTGTGCTAGGTGTTTAGGTTTGGTGGAGAGATCAAAATTGAAGATGTCAAGAGATGATGAGATGCGTCTCAGGTAAACTTGCACGAGCGTGTTGCATTAGTCTAGAACACTTTAGTATGTAAAATTGCACTGCACGAGCGTGTTGCATTAGTTTAGAATACATTAGTATATTTTGTCCTTATTTAACTAATCATTTGGGAATCGAGAGTAATAGTGTTAACTTTTAACAATAATTTCAAGGAGTTGTGAAGACTCTCGGATCTCCTGTTGTTGAAGTTCTTGTGATCAATCCTTCTGTGTATCTGTAATGTAACTTAAATAATGGTATATATCTTATTATATATTGGAGGAATTGTTATTTTTAGCAAATTCTAAGAATTTCGAATTTTGTTTGTGGTAGGGATGTTTGACTTTATTATTAGTACTTTTTTTGATAATTTTCGTCGTTTTGAAACTGATATGTAGACAATTGGCCTCATTTGGATCTTTTTTTCTAAATGAATAATTTTGACCTTTTCATCATTAACAGGAAGCGGCTACCAAAAGCAAGTCTGCAGGAAAGGCATGGTACCAGACTATGATCTCCGACAGCGATTACACCGAGTTTGAAAACTTCTCAAAGTGGTTGGGAGTCTCCCAGTGAGATTTTTCTGTCTTTGAGTTTTGTCTTGGTATAATATCTTTATCTAATTGTTTTGTTTCAAGAGGAGTTAATTTACTTTTTGTGGCAGTTTTGAGACAAGATTTGAGTTTGGTGGGTTATGTTTTATGACAAGATGGATGGATTTTTCATTTTAGCAGATCTGGAATCAAAATTTTACAAATTGTAGTCTCTTACTTAAACACGGTTTGTTAGTTTTTTTTTGAATGAGAAATTGAATTAATGCTTCATTTGTTATTTGAACGAGAGTTATTATTTTAAATGTTAGTTTTTTTTTAATGTGAAATTGAATTAATGCTTCATTTGTTATTTGAACGAGAGTTATTATTTTAAATGTTAGTTTTATTACAGATATTTGAATAGGAGTTAATATTTTGTATGTTAGTTTTATTATAGGTATTTTTTTATTAATTGAATGAGAAACTAAATTCAATATTTTTTTTTTGTATGTTAGTTTTATTACAGGTATTTTTTTATTAATTGAATGAGAAACTAAATTCAATATTTTTTACAGGTATTCTTTTTAATTTAATTAAATAAAATTAGCATAATATCCCCAAAAAAAAAGAAAAAAAAAAAAGGAAGATATGACGGCGTTTCTACAAACGCCTCCTAATCCCTCAACAGTAACGGTAATATTTTCGAAACAGATACGACGGCGTTTCAAAAACGTCGCTAAATATTGTTGGTGACGTCAGCGTGTGTGTGGTGGGACATTTGGCGGCGTTTTTTAAAACGCCGCCTTTACTAATATCACGACGTTTTTAAAACGTCGCAAAGCTACAGCGACGGCCGCAGCTTCGACGTTTGGTATTAAACGCCACAAAAGGAATTAGGGGCGTTTTTGATACATATGGCGGCGTTTTTTAAACGCCGCTAAAAGTGCGATTTCCAGCAGTGTCTAGAAATGAGAAGAAATCAGAGTGACGGAGAGATGAGGAATAAAGCAATAGGCTGTAGTGTACAAATTTTTTATTTTTGTTTTTGCAGAGACAAGAGCATTGATGGTAAACTAGGTATTTTAAAAAATAAAATTAATGACATAAGCAAAATCAATTAGTAAACCTAACGGTTGATTAACTGAAGGGGTATTTGAACCCTCAAGAGGTGAAATGTATTTTCTAAAACCTGAGTGGAGAATTTATATTTTAGATGAACCTCAAAAGGGGTGTATTTGTAATTTACGGTTATTTATATAGATCTATGTAGTGCTTAAAAAAAAAAAAAAAAAAAAATCCACAAAAAACATATATCAAAATGCAAATTACTTAATGATTTCACCAACCTCTTCCTCTAACTTGTGAAGGGTGTTGCACAGGACCCAGTCCACTTCATCCACATTAGAGAATTGATTTACAACCAAGTCTAACGGAGTTGGGTATGACCCAGGGACACAAACAAAAGATGGCATGCCTGAGTGAGGGGTCAAGTGATGGTAATCCAGGAACCAATATATTGTCCACAGCACAAGACTGAGTGAAAAACACAGCCCCAACTAGTCCAAACCTTTTGGCCACATCAAGAGCCCAAGGAAAAAATGCATCATAAACAATGCAATCCAAAGAGCACTCAATGGTGGCTGTTGAAACTATAAGAGAATTTGGTTCTGATTAGGAACTCTCACTAGATTCATGGATGCTAGTAATCATGGCGGATATTGGCAGTAACTCACTCATATATATATATATATATATAACAAAACTTGTGGAGATGTACGACCTGAGACCGTAGAAGCTCCTAAGAGACACAAATACCTTAATTGAAACTCTATATATTGGAACTTCTTCTTCTTTTTATTTATTTATTTATTTATTTATGTTTTACATACTTGTGCAATGCTTTTAAATGAGTAACGAAGTTTTTCTTCATCCAAGTATTCCGTCAATCTTTATTCTTGAATTTTGCATTTGGTTGCTCTTTGGGATCAAAACATTCTTCCATATTTACCCAATTTGTGTCAAAAGCAGGATTCTCCAAACCAATTTGTGAATAATAACTCCTAATAATTCCATTCCCTTGATATTTTCCATCACACTTTAATGAAACAACTTCGTCACCACTAAAATCATAGGGTTCAAGTCTACCATCATAAATTTGATTAAACTCACCAATTTCTTGTTCCCAGTCTAAAAGTCGAATGAATACCTTTTCACCGGAAAGTTATGTAGATAAAAGGTTTTGCTAATAATTGTTTCTAAGGGACAAATAAAAGATAAAAAAAAATTAAATAACACCACATATATTTTTTATTAAATTTAGGACTCATTTGACAAGTGATTTTTTAGTAAAAAGTCAAAAAGTCACAAAAAAAATCAAAAAGCCTATAAACTATACTAAAAAGTCAAAGATTCTCTTTTCTCTTTACTTTTTGCACATTTTTTTGTAAAAAATTAAAAAGCCATCCCAAATATACTAATGTTTTTTATATCATATTTTAGTTAAAAAGGAAAAAAATTACTAAAAAAACATGTTCCTAAACGAGACCTTAATATATTTTTTAATATTTTCAAATATTTTTAAGATTTTTTTTATACAATTTCTAACATTAAACAATGTATGAGAGACACTTATTAGCGATAAATTATATTTTGCTCTTTTTGTATTTGATATTTTTTTTTAAAAATTTTAAACTTTCATATTTCAAGTTTCTTTTTAATTTATTTCAGAAATTAACATGTATTAAAATTAAACAAAAACAACCTTGGCCTTCTCAAATGTGTTGATGGTGACTCATATAATTAAAAAGTGCTTCAAAATTATTAATTAATAGTTTCTAAACAAAAATTACAACTTTTAAATATTTTGACAAAATGTTAAAACAAATTCCAAATTTAAAAGGATTATAGAATTTTTTTTTAAAAAAAAATAATAATAATAGTTTGGGTACAGTCGGTGTTGGGCGGTGTCGTTGGACTACGTTGGTTTCAAGATACTATTATTTTAGCCATTTAATTAAAAGTTACGATCTACATAAAAAAAAAAAAAAAAAAAAAAAAAAAAAAAAAAAAAGTGGAAAAGGCCTACCCACTTGAGAACAAAAGAGGCCTAAGAGAACTTATAAGTCCAAAGAATCTACAAAACCACTCTTCTAGAACTCCAGCAATACAAAATGGCCAAAAAAAGCTTTTGAGCATATACAAAGGCTCTTCCTCTGAGTCTGGAAAGTAGCAATCCTATTGCATTACATCCAAAGAAGGCCACATCAAACATAATGGTGATTTAATGATTGTCTTATGTGTCTAGTTATTCATCCCAGATCTAATGTAAATGGGCTGGCTCATTAGTTAAGCTCAAGTTATGCAAGCTCTTGGCCTTTCTATTTCATTTTGATTGTGAAATCTGTTAGGTTTATTTTCATGGCGTAGTTTTCTTCCATGCTTTCTTTTTGTACAGTTTTCTCTTTCTGTTGGAAAATTTACTTCTTTGTTGGCAAACATTTATTTGTTCAGATGTCAAGCATTTTTTTGGTAGTATTACTGGTTAACTTTTTTGGCTGGAAATGTTTTTCATTTATAGACTGTAAAATTGGTGTTGCAATCATTTGCAGAATTTATCAGGTGGTATGGATATTCTCATTTCCTTTTCTCTTCAATGCAGGTTCCAAGTATGCTGGGTATGTGAACTCTGTCCATATATGTAGCACGGTGAGTTCTTGATATTTGCTCGTAGTTTCTCTTGAAGCAATTATGATTACAAAGTAATATAGTTTAATAAGAATCTCTAATCAAGTTTGCTGTCCATTGTCAAAATTTACATATCCAAATATAGCTTGCATTCACATGTTGCTTTAACAGTAAAATGCCAAGTATACATCTCCTTCATAATTGGCACCTCAGACTTTGGGAAGGGCTAGTTCATATCAAAGGTTGTTTGTGGTATCAAGAAGCTTCATGGTATGATTAGAAATTCTTCTATTTCAAGCAATATCCGTGTTTAGAATCTTTTGATCATTCTTTTCATTCTAAGCCTATCTTAGTTCAACACTTCAGTAACTACTTCTGTTCTCTATTTTTTTACTAGCCAGTTTAGCATTAGGAGGCTTTGTTTTGAAGTTGACATTGGGCATCTCGTTGAGAGAACATGAAGATGATCCTATGATGTCATTTGTTTATAAGAAAGAGAACTCTCTTACTGAATATTTATTTTATTTCTCATCAAAAGTGGTGAGATTTGATAAAAAATAAGTTGATCGGTTGTAAAATATTTATAATAACCAAAATTATCCCTTAAAATACAAAAAAAAAAAAAAAAAAAAAAAAAAAACTCAATCATATCTTACGATCCAAACAGAGTGTCAAAAGCTATCATCATATTCAACGAAGTGAAGCAAAAAACAAAATATTAGGAATCGGTGCATAAACACAATCTACGATCAATCAATTCATTGTAGAAGACAAACAAACCTTTGGGATATTTGATCTATTCATCGAGTTAGAAAGGAAGAAGGAAGTAGTAATGAAAGAGAACTCAGATATTGGCGCGGCTCAATCAAATCAAAACTTCACCGCCATGCATATAATATGTATATATACATATTTGTTTTTATCTGAGTGAACCATGCCAATATCAAAGTCACTATTTCATATATTTATATATCTATCTCTGATCTCATCCCCTAACAAAAATATCTCCCTCAAACCCTTTTCTATTCTTCATCCAATTCACGTATTTTCATTTGAAGACCACCAAAAAAACATATACCCAAAAAGAAAAGAAAAAACCATAGTTTTGAGGAGAGAGAGACACAAAGACAGAGATGAGAAGGGTTGGAATATTGGGGATTTTAATAGGAGGGTAACATTGAAAACCGCTACTAGCAAAGCAGAATTGAGTCCACTGCATTTAACTCCATTATTCCTTTTCCATCTCTCTCACTCAGCGAAATGGAAAATTGTTCACTCCAACGTAATTCTCTCACATGAGTACAGGGTTTACAAAAAGTTGGCAAAAAATTGGCATGTGAGACAGTTGTATTCGATTTTATAATTAATTCTAAATTATTAATTTCTTATAGATAATATGTGATAATGTCTACATGGTATTTCCAATTAATAAAAAAATTATGAATTTAGTTATGTTGTGTTTGGTTAGCGGATTTGAGAAGGGATTTGGAAAGGGAAAGGAAAAAGTTAGGTGAAATGCAAATAAAATATACTTACATTTCACTTAGTTTTACACACATTTTCCCTTTTCTTTTCCAAATTCCTCTCCAAATCTCCCAACCAAACACAGCATTAATGAATTTCCTAAGGACATTAGTTAGTAATGTTTAAATTGATTATACATACATATTATACACCTTCTCATGCATTATGTACAAACATTTTAATCTTTTTTTTATCAAGTGTGCTATATTGAAAATAATAAACTTGATTTTATTATTAAGAGTTATATTTCCAACATTTGGTTATGCTAGTTATCCTCCATAAAAAAAAATTTAAAAAAAGAACAAAGAAAAAAAAAGAAAAGAGAAGGTTATGCTAGTTATAATCAAGGAATAATGGCATGCATGTAATGACAAAATGGTATTAAGAGTTATTAATTAATAGTATATTAATGTGCTAGCGGTTACAAAAAGTAATAGAGTTGGTAGATTATAATGTGAGTGTGTGAGTTATATAGCCATGTAATTTATGTAATATATGAATGAGAATGAAAATGTGATGAGCAAAAGAATGCAATGATAATAATATGAGTGAAATACAACAATTACATTTTCTTCTTGAATTCTCTTTCAAATTAGTATTGTGCGCAGCCAATTTTATTTTTAACACCTTAAGACTTGTTTGTTTTTAGAGATAGAATGAGGGGAATTCATAGTGAGGAGATTAAGTAAAATTGTGTTTGTTTTGATGATAGTTGTCAATGTAGGGATTGTTAAATTATTTTTATATAAAATAATAAAACAAATAAAAAAATATAAAAAATTAAACATTAATAGGAATTAATAATGAGGGGATTGATAATGAGAAGATTAAGTAAAATTGTATTTGTTTTGATGATAGTTGGATTATTAAATTATTTTTATATAAAATAATAAAACAAATAAAAAAATACAAAACATTAAACATTAATATTCAAAAAAAATGCCCAACATGTAAAAAAAATAAAAATAAATAAAACAATGATTTTTACTTACCAAAAAATACAAAAAATTAAACATTAATGTTTAAAAAAAATGTCCAACATGTAAAAAATAAAAAAATAAAAAATTTCTAGTCCTTGGGACTATTTTTCTAATATCATCGCCACCTTCTCCATCCCAATTCCCTCTCCAAGACCTATCTTAATACCAAGGAATTAGGGGTCTCCTTCCCATCTTTCAAAACAAACACCCCATATAGTGAGTCTCATCACACTATTGATTAAGGCCGAAATGTATATCATTGAGGCCGTTAATTACAATCTCTTAACTTCATTTGCTGGTCAAACTGTATATTTTATGTGTGTTGAGTGTCAATTAGGTTGTACATCGTCGGAGCATAAAATGAACAAAAAGATAGAATTTGGGCAGAGTTGACTTTCCCGCACGTGCGTTGACTTTTCCCGCACGTGCATTGATTTTCCTGCACGTGCATTGACTTTTTCTAGAAAAGTCAAACCGACGTTTTAAACCTGTTTGGACGAGATTGGAAGTATAAAAAGGCAAGTAAAAGGCTGGATTAGGGTTCGAAAAATTATTTTGACCTAAAGAGAGAGGCTAGGGTTTGAAAAAGAGGAAGGAACAAGAAGCTTCAAGATGTCTCCCATGGTGGTTCCTTCTCCATCTACCTCCTCCCACTCCTCCATGAGTGGCTAGTCTCATTTTCTAGGGTTTTGATGAAACCCTAGCCATGTAATAGGTTTTTCTTTTTTTGATTTTATATTATGTAAAGGTTTGAACCATTGTATGGTGTTTTAGAAATTCTTTATATATAATTTTCATTATCTTTTCAAATATTTGACTTTCTGTGATTGTTGAATATTATCCATACATGAGTTTTCTATTCCTTCACATTCAAGGTATGGGACGAACCATGCTACGAGGAACGAGTCGTATCACTACCCTAGTTTAGAGTGAACGATTCGTATTACTTGAGATGGTTCGTGCTCGTACATTGAATGTGATGATCTTCTTGTTAAATGCTTTCTATTCTCCATCCGATCCAATTTTACTTTTCCTTGCTCTATATGTTATATTATATTATCTATTCTCCATCCGATCCAATTTTACTTTTCCTTGCTCTATATGTTATATTATATTATCTATTCTCCATCCGATCCAATTTTACTTTTCCTTGCTCTATATGTTATATTATATTATCTATTCTCCATCCGATCCAATTTTACTTTTCCTTGCTCTATATGTTATATTATATTATCTATTCTCCATCCGATCCAATTTTACTTTTCCTTGCTCTATATGTTATATTATATTATCTATTCTCCATCCGATCCAATTTTACTTTTCCTTGCTCTATATGTTATATTATATTATCTATTCTCCATCCGATCCAATTTTACTTTTCCTTGCTCTATATGTTATATTATATTATCTATTCTCCATCCGATCCAATTTTACTTTTCCTTGCTCTATATGTTATATTATATTATCTATTCTCCATCCGATCCAATTTTACTTTTCCTTGCTCTATATGTTATATTATATTATCTATTCTCCATCCGATCCAATTTTACTTTTCCTTGCTCTATATGTTATATTATATTATCTATTCTCCATCCGATCCAATTTTACTTTTCCTTGCTCTATATGTTATATTATATTATCTATTCTCCATCCGATCCAATTTTACTTTTCCTTGCTCTATATGTTATATTATATTATCTATTCTCCATCCGATCCAATTTTACTTTTCCTTGCTCTATATGTTATATTATATTATCTATTCTCCATCCGATCCAATTTTACTTTTCCTTGCTCTATATGTTATATTATATTATCTATTCTCCATCCGATCCAATTTTACTTTTCCTTGCTCTATATGTTATATTATATTATCTATTCTCCATCCGATCCAATTTTACTTTTCCTTGCTCTATATGTTATATTATATTATCTATTCTCCATCCGATCCAATTTTACTTTTCCTTGCTCTATATGTTATATTATATTATCTATTCTCCATCCGATCCAATTTTACTTTTCCTTGCTCTATATGTTATATTATATTATCTATTCTCCATCCGATCCAATTTTACTTTTCCTTGCTCTATATGTTATATTATATTATCTATTCTCCATCCGATCCAATTTTACTTTTCCTTGCTCTATATGTTATATTATATTATCTATTCTCCATCCGATCCAATTTTACTTTTCCTTGCTCTATATGTTATATTATATTATCTATTCTCCATCCGATCCAATTTTACTTTTCCTTGCTCTATATGTTATATTATATTATCTATTCTCCATCCGATCCAATTTTACTTTTCCTTGCTCTATATGTTATATTATATTATCTATTCTCCATCCGATCCAATTTAACTTTATGTTAATCAGGGCTTATGACAAGGCTGCAATAAAATGCAATGGAAGGGAAGCAGTGACCAACTTTGAGGCAAGCACATATGAAGAGGAGTTAAGCTCTGAGATTGAGAATCGAGGTATCACTTGTTTAATTTTTTGTGTTGTTTTATGATTCTTGAAACTTCCCTTCATTTACGGTTGCATATATTTAGCTATCCTTCTTTATGAATCATGAGATGATGACATCTCTAATCTTTTCTATGCAGGAAGCAGCCATAATCTAGACCTCAACTTGGGTATTTCTACCCCTTATTTTGCTAATGGCCAAATGGGAAGCAATGACTTGAGCAGTGGTTTACATTTGCAGAGTGACTTGAGCAATATGCATGAGAACAGAAGGGTAATTTTAAAAGCCGTATATTAAGATTTTAGTCTGTCCGGTTTTGCTCTATGATTGGATTAGTCAAACCAGTGATCATTCTGTATACATGCTATGTTCGAATTTTGGAAGGTCTTACGTGAGTTTACGTAGCAGATTTATCTTTTCCTCTTACAGGCTGAGAACTCCGTTACAACAATGGCATGGCCAAATAATGGTTTCTGAGCACCCTCCTCTCTGGAAAGGTGTAAATTCCCATGCCGTTCCCATCTGTGAGGTAATTTTACTCTATCCAACTATCCAATTTATTTCTTGCTATTACTACATTAGCAACAACTTTCTCTGCTCTTGCATTTAGAGTTTAGACTAAATGATCATTTGATCACATATTGGAAGTTTTGGTTGGACTATAGAATCATTAGCTGGCTTTTGTTGCTGGGAAAACATTATCGCTTAACACCTCTCTTCTAACTTATTGAAACAGCTAGATCATTTGGCTGCAATCCATCATCTTCCTGTAATGACTACTGATCAGCAATCACCAGTTTTGAAGCTGATAGAATAGAAGTTAGGGGTTTTCCCTTTTGTTGTTATGAAACTTTTGGGGCTAGTTTAATGCGACCATGTGTCTATTTTCATCCCATGGAGCTCCATATGATTTATTGGCCATCTTTGTTATTATTTACTATGAATATTGATTTTTCACAAGTTGATTAACAATTCCATTATTTTATTTTATTTTTTGCCGTCAACAGGGAAGAGCAATAGAGAATAGTATGGAATTTGATTCTTCACCGAGCTGGGCATTGCAATTCCAAGGCCCATTTGGTGGTGACGTTCCACTCACTACAGGAATTTGGAGATTTAACGGCGTTTAATTAATGGCGTTTTATTAAACGTCACTTTTTTAATTAATGGCGTTTTACCTCTGTTAGTTAATGGCGTTTTATGAATGGTATTGGATGGAATTTACCTCTGTTAGTTAATAAATGTGTTTTTTTTAATTAAAAAAAATTATTTATAGATTTATCTTGAAAGAATACCTAGAAGAGTGGTTTCTAATGGAAGAAAGTCCACCAATATATATTTGTGTATGTGTGTGTGTGAATGCAGTCCCATCTAGGTTGATCATTTTGAAGTTTCTAATCATTTGTCTCAATTGAGGTGCAAAACTTCTAGTTGTAAGTTTCTGTAAGTTTTTAATCATTTGTCTCAAATGTGGGTTTTGTTGCTCTGCTCTTTCTTTTTTAAACTTGTAAGGTGAAATTTTATGCTTATGGGTATTTAGAAACTTTAATCTTTGTATTCTTCACAGAGTGTTGTGGGAATTATACTTGGAGGTGGAGCTGGGACTCACCTTTAATTAAGTGGTTTTGTATTCTTCACAGAGTGTTGTGGGAATTATACTGGAGGTGGAGCTGGGACTCACCTTTACCCTCTTACAAAGAAGAGAGCAAAACCAGCTGTTCCTTTAGGAGCAAATTATCACCTGATTTGGCTTCCATATTTTGATGCGGGCATCCGGACCAATGAAGATGACAGATTCTATGCTACATCAACTGTGTTCAGTGAATTTAGCAGCAAGGACAAGACATTAAATTAAATCAAAACTCATGGCGTTTGTCTTAATGTTTTTCCTGTTATTTTTTGGCGAATGTTAAAACATGATTTATGGATATGTTATTTTGTAGTTAATCGTAATTGTATATTAAATTGAATGGGAAAGTGAATTAATGTTGTATTTGCTACTTGGCAGCTTTTCATATAATTGGTTTATCTTTTGACAAATGTTCATTTGAATGGGAACGAGAATTATTGATTCATATTAGTACTATTTTTCAATTTTATTATAGGTATTTTTTGGTTCAACCACATAGAATTTGTTGAATTTAAAAAAAATATATTAAAAAAATAAAGATATAATGGCGTTTTTGAAAATGCCACTATACAGTCAACGGTTATATTTTTAAAATCCAAAAAAAAGCAATGACGACGTTTTTAAAACGTCGCTAAAAACAGTTATGACGTCAGTGCGTTTTTTAAAACGCCGTCTATATCCATATAACGACGTTTTTAAAGCGCCTCAATGTTATAGCGACGGCCGCATCTTCGACGTTTGGTGCTAAGCGCCACAAAAAGAATTAACGGCGTTTTTAACACTTATAGCGGCGTTTTTTAAACGCCGCTAAAAGCTGAATTTCCTGCAGTGTGGGTAATTTTGAGAAAAGTTAGGGTTTGATTTGTAATTTGATAAAAGGGGGTTTTTCATATATTAAACTCCATGTGTATGTAAGACTTGAAAAATGGCATTATTAGTGTCAAATTGAGAAAATTGAATCTTAGGGTTGATTTGTGATAAAAGGGGAGAAATGCCCTAATCATTGTGATAAATTAATTGGTATAATTAATTTGGGAAAATATGGAATTGAGTTGAAATCCATGAAATTGGGAAATTATGGGATTGAATGGTATAGTTGGATTAATTTATTACTCACCTATGGAAATGTTGAGATTATATCTGTTTGATGCATTTATTATCTGTTTAGAAATAACTGCTTTGGGCTATCGGTGGAGGATAGTCTTGATTGTTGTAGACATTGCATGTTGATTAGGGAAAACTGAAACTAATCACATTGTATATGACGGTTGGAATAATACATCAAAGTTGTGTATTGATTGAACATGTATATGATAAACGTTTATATGCATTGTGTTGTGTGGGAGGAGATAGGGGATGTACTCCACGATTTAAGAGGAGATAGGGGATGTACTCCACGGTTTACACCGGATGTTATTTGGGAGGAGATAGGGGATGGACTTCAATGATACAACAAATATGTGTATCAGATGGAAGTATTAATACAGCAAATATGTGTATTAAATGGAAGTGTTAATACAGCGAATATGTGTATTATTTGAAGTATGGAAGTGTTTAAATTGTGAGTTGTAGACTCATTTAAATTGTGAATCAGGGTAATGTTTTAATGTGAGATGTGGTCTCACTTAACTGTTTGGCCAAGTCCTGAGCCATATCCATGGAATAATTTGGATAAGTAAAGAATTATGAAATGAAACATGGACTTTATGTCATGGAATTGGATGATGTTGTAAATTAGTTTATAAGTGTTAACCATCTATCAAATGCTATTGTTTTAGTCATTGTTCATATTTGGTTTAGTATATCTCTACTGGGCTGTGGCTCACCCTATATGGGATATCATTTTTAGGTACAGATGGTATGCTGCCTCCAAGGACGTAGCTTGGGAGGCTAGAGGCTGAAAGACTTTTTGTATTATCTTTTATGTATTGCATGTAAATCGAGCCAAGGGCTTACTTTGTATAAAGAGTTAGTACTCTTCTTTTGTTGTACCCAAGTGTTGACTTGGAAAGTTGTAAGCCAATAGGACATTTACTTTTGTTGTCAACATGTAATACATCTGTAATGAATACTCTGATAAATAGAAATATGCTTTATTCTCTTATGTCAATGCATGTAAAGAATGTTGGGTTTTATGTATTTTTTTGAGGGCGTTACAATTTAAGTCCCCCAAGGCATGAGACTGTCAGAGGGTCACTAAAGTGACAATTCAGAGGGCCAGTAATTACTTAAGTCCCTCAAGGCATAGGACCTCCGTGGTAGTACTTATTCAAAACAAATGTTTATAAAATCATTGTCAAATATTTTCTAAAATTTAAACAAATATATCCATGGGTTTCAATTTAAGCAAATAGAGTTCAGAAAATAATCCACGTAATTGAAACATTAATATAACCATAAAACATAAAGTATATAAAATAATTCGTAGTAATTCAAAACATTTGTAAAATATATTATGGTGACTCAAGGTATAATATTACTCACCTTATTATTGACCCTCAGCCTTTACTTCTCTATTATTGCTTACTAGTATGCTGTACTTGTTTTGTATCTATGTATCTCTTTCTTGTTCCTTTCTGAAGCTCAGTGACTCACTATTTATAAGGGTAATGTGCACAGTCATGTGGTAAGTTTTGCCACCACGTGTCACTCAAACCATTTGCCATCTGCTACTTCCCTAAATGACTTATCCAGGTGCTTATCCTAGCTAAATATGCATATTCACCCCCCTATGTGCTAGGGTGGTGACAGGCCATGTATATCCTTTTTTTTTTTAATTTTTTTTTTAACATTTCACTTTATCAACTATTCAATATACACTCCAAATATGTAAATATATATATATATATATATATTTGTGATATTTAATTAAACATTTAGGGTATCATATCAAAGATTACCCTTTAAAGAGAGGATGATCTTTTAGTTCACAAACCACAAGTTGAACACTCTCAAGAGCTAAAATTTGTATTCAAGAATCTCAGTAAGAGGCCTCAAGTTTAGGCTTAGGAAGTGTATGTATAGTGTATGTATATTGCAAGAGATGAAGGAAGAGTGTTTGGCAAGTCTTTGGCTCTTGGCAAAATTTTCCAACTCCAAACCCTTAGGGGAGGCCTTGTATTTATAGAAAAACACCTTCTCACGTCAGAAATATCTATAATGAGACAGCTAGTGCAAGGCATGGTCATGGGGATAGTTGGCTGTCTCAAAATATCTGTTGTCACTAAACATAGCTGGTTGGCCAATATTTTGTACGGCCCCGCTGCTCATTGAGTGGTCAGGCTAAAAAAAGGGTTTTGGTCCAAATAGGGTGGAAGGCTTGGGTTTGAAGCTCGAAACTGAATTCTTTTGCTGAAGATTCGAACAATTTACATGATGTAACTTTCATCATCGAGTGTTCGGATTGAGGCTCCCAAGTCTTAGGGGCGGTCAAAATAGGGTGTCTACAACCAGCTTTACGTAAAGGTTTGCAAATTGCAGAAGAAAACAGATGGGGAAAAATTTGGACAAAAGATGATAATTTTTTTTTTAATTAAAACAATTCTTCAAGGCACACAAAGAAATTAGTTCATCAACTTATGGAAACTCATCAGCAATATTTGAAAGCGACGAAAAATAATCCAAGGTTGCAACATAACATTCATCCGTAGAGAAGGAAACTTCACAGCAAACATTTTTTGCAACCATATCAAAGGGAAACATGGCAACTTCCAATACGATGACCGTATATTGTCGAGCAAATTCAAGACATCGTTCATCGGGAAAGACAAGGATATAGTTACACACGATCTAGAGAATTGTATGGACACATACAACTCATTAAAATACAACTATTGTTAAAAATATATGTTCTATATACATAATATACTTTTATGTTTTTAAATTACAAAATCAATATCCTTGCTTCTTCAACTTTCATAAACAGTACATGCTACAATGAACCATAACTATAAAAATATGAACAACATCCTACTCATACTTGAAATAATTATTTTATTATTTAATGACCTATAATCAGATCTTCGTAACTAGCTATTTACAACGTAAGAATTTAAAACGAGTTTTCAAGTAAACATTATGTAATGAATGAAAATGGGAAAATTTATAAATTCGATCCATGCAATAACATCATTTTGAATCCATTCTTGTTTGGATATTTTGGATCTAATCATGTATATTTATTGCAATATTAGTTATAACTTAATTTTTTTAATAGTTCAAAAACTCGTTGATTATAACTTTTATAAATTATATATAACATACACATTTCTAAAAATATACATACAATATTACTCCACGCGCATAATGTGTGGTGCCTAACTAGTTATATTAAACAAAATAAGAAGAAACTTTTGTTAGAAACAAATAGATTTTGCCTAAAAAATTGATTGATTTCTTATGTGAATTTTTAATTGGACCACTTTGCAAAGCATTATGAACTTAAGCATAGCAAATAATATTCAAATAATTATAGAAGTTTATAAGAAGTTTTTAAAATAAGGAAGAAAAAGCCAACAAATAATAGATGGAAATAAGGGAG